CGACTCTAGGCGAAGTCGTCATATAAACTCATAGGGTTGATGTAACCCCTTGGCTAATAGACGAATCTTATTTCTAAGGGTTTTGAGAATAATACTGCAGAATTTTTAAATCCCGCCACAGATAGATAAATAATATGAATAATAAAGAATAGGAAAGAAAATAAGTAAATAATTAAATAAGAAAAATAAAACTCAAAAGAAATAAGAAAACCCCTAAAAACCCTAAAATCGAAAGATAAGGCTTCTAAACCTAGGGTTGGGTCTCCAGCAGAGTCTCCAGCTGTTGCAACTGGTTTTTAAATAGAGTCGTCGCCCTTAATTTTTACCCTAAAGGAATGGAGTATAAAGGAATAACCCTAAAAGTTAGAGATTCTAGATTTGGACTTGGTTCTAGACGAAGGGAAGGTGTTAGGCACCCCTCACCTATCTTGTTCACAAGGATACTAAGTTTAGAAGCGCGATGTTTAGGAAATAGAGTTCTTAATTATTATTGGGGGAAAAGGGTTTGAATTTTATTTAGGGGGAAAAGGGTTTTGATTTTAATTAGCGGGGGTTTGTATTTTTTATGGTTTACGCAGATGTTTTAATTTTCCTCGTAATTAGCCCGAATGTGTGAATAGCGGAGATTTTGGACTAGTGCGCAGTTAATTAGAATATACTGCGTATTCCTTTTTGAAAATTAATTGTTTGATTTAATTTATTATAAAAATAGTTTGAAGTTTGTTTGTGTATATTTCTTTTTAGACGTATAGCAGAGGAGTCTGATATAGCCCCCTTATCACGTGGCCAGATATTGGCCACGTGTCGCTTACAAATATCATAGTTTAATTAAAAAATGGTTTCAAATATTTGGATATAAAACAATAGCCTAAATCACGTCGCGAAAGTTAATTTCGAGGTTTTAACGTGAATACACAATATATCTACTAAGTATAAGATGATTAATTAATTATGATAATTAACTAAATTAAATATAGTTAGTCTAATTAACCAAATATCAATGAATTTATTAAAATTAGATTAAGTGTGAGGGGTGTAAGTAGTAGAGATGGTTTGTGCAATTGAAAGAATGTTAGAGACATGAGCTCAAATCAAACTTTAGTGTTCAAACCCTAATTAACAAAAAAAGTATTAGTAATAAGAAAAACGTACAGCACATATCTCACCCCTTCAATTTTGTTTGACTTTTCCAACTCTCCCTAACCCATCAGATCGCGACACGTGGCGGTGAAGTTTACAAAAAAATAAAATAATGCCATACATGTACCATTAGAGAGAGAACTCTTTTTACTTCTCAGATTCAATTTCCTTTTTCCTTCGCTTGTTCCTCATTTTCACCCTTCATCCTCTGTCTTCTTCTTAAAACGACACGATTTCCATTTGTGGCGATGGATGCTTTGGCCGGCGGCTTCGATGGGTGAGACGATCGGAGTTTATGGCCAAAGAAATAGCGGTGGCCGGTGGTAGTCGAGAGGATGATGGTGGATTGGAGAGGTTTCGATGGAGGCTTGTGGAGACTTCACGATGGAGGCTTGTGCGCATTCTGCGCGTGGCCGACATTTGTAACAAGTTGCGGCAGAGCCCAGGTTGTTGAGGTTGTTGGAGCGTGACAGCAAGGTTGTTGGTCGCGGGTGGTTGGATGAAGGCAAGCTAGCGGTACCGCGGTGGGAGAACGGCGGTGAGGTGAACTGATGATGTTTAAAGGTAAATGGAAGAATGGAAATTAGATGGTTTTCTGATTCCTCCTTTACTCTTACCCCCCCCCCCCCTGTAATTTGTGTTCTTATTGTAACCTCTTTGCCACTGTTTTTCGTCCTCCTCTTTTTATAGTAATTGCTTCATTTTATAACTTCTTAGATTTCATACATTTGGAAAGACCTTAATATGTCGTAAATTGGTTTTGGAAATACTGTAATGTGTTTGTAAGTTGGTACAATGCTTTGATTGCAATTCTGATTTTAGTCTTGGACTATAATAAATCCGGTTTTGTTTCCGTTTATGTTATGAGTTGTGATGATTCTGAGTCAATTCTCCTTGATTTCTGCAGTAATGGTTTAAAACAGTAGAGCGTGTGTTTTTATTTTAATCCACACAGTACTTGTTCCTCTCTTTTTTGGAAATAAACTTTTTCAATTGAAACTAGGCTTATTAGTGATGGGCCGAAAACAAATTAATTATATTCTAAAGGAAAGACAATAATGAGATAAATATAATGTTATGATTTTGAAAAACAAGAAACAGACTAACTAACATTGAATGGGCCAAATTATTTCAATTTATTGGGCTAGGCGTTGGGTCATGCGAGAAAGGTATTTATCTAAGCTAATGTTCTTTTCTTTTTATTTAATAATACAGAAACAAAACAACAACAACAAAATTTAATAATTTAATCAGTAAAATAATTAATTATAACAAAATGATAATAATGTTATATAAAAAAAATCTTTTAAAACCAAATAGGCCAAATTCTCTCTCTTTTTTATTTTATTTTAAATACTGGATTTTAACAAAAACATGTCCCATATAGGTCTTATAATTTAAGTGTATTGGACTTTAACCAAAACAAAATTGTTCACCTCCTTTAGTTAGAGTAATGCACCAAAAATTTTAATTTGAAATGGACCTCTCTTAAAAAAAAACTTAATGGGCCATCAGATATTGATTGTCCATTTTAAATCAATATATCCCTCTTTAATATTTTGCACCCCTGTAGAAATAAAAACTAAATAATGTGGTTTATTGAATAGAACCCTAAATATAACACGAAGGTAGGGAAATTTTGGGGTATGACAATAACAAGTATGCAACCAATCTTGCCAAGAATCCAATGTTGCATGGGAGAAGTAAGTATATTGAGATCAAGTATCACTTCTGAGGAATCAGGTTCAGAGTGGAATATTAGAAGTTGTGCACTGTAGCATCCAAAAACAGTTGACGGACGTTCTAACAAAGATTATCAAGACTGATCAATTTCTTCGTTTGAGAGATTGAATTGGTGTTGTCAGTTTTATGTAAATATAAATTAAGGGATGGTGTTGAAAATAATTTAATATTTTAGGAATGTCTTGTTGACTAAGTCTGTTAGAGGGTATTTTAGTATTTTATTATACCCTAATATTGTATATAAAGAGCATAGTAGTAGGTAGGTAAATGTATTCATTACTCCTTATTTTGTAACTGTCATTTAATATATTTATTTTTGTCTTTCACCTCTCCTTTGTGCACCAATAAAACCAATACCCCAAAAACAAAGAGGCATTTTTCAAGGATTAACTTTCAACCAAAAAGATAACTTCCTTAGGAAAAATTATTTACTCAAGAGAACAATCTATTCTTGGTAAATTTATAATTATGTTCTCATCTAGAATAATATTCCTCATAGTATTTTAAAAATTGGACCGAGAAAAGGAAGGATCATCGGTCTGGTCTGATATTGTACCGTGTATGTTATTGAACCGGTGGGAAACGGTAAAAATTGGTGAACCGACGGTTTTGGAAAACCGACAGGTCAAATGCATGCTTTTTTCGATCAAAACGACGTCGTTTTGATAATTTTTTAAAAATATATAATTAAAATATAATTAGACTTTATACAAAACTTATTAGAACAACTTTCTCTTGTTTACAATTAAACTTAGTTTAAAATTTATTTAAATTTATATTTTGTATTATTTTATTGTGAGTGATGATTATATTTAGAATTTGAATTTAAAGAATGAACATGTGAAATTATGATATTTTTGAAATTTTGTAGGTGTAGCGATATTTTTAGACACCGAGTGATCTGGTCGACCGATTTAATAAATATATAGTTTTATTATAAAGACCGATTTATTCAATCGAATTAATCAATATAATCTAATTTATCATACGGTTCGACCAATGACTCGATACCTTCACCGATTTGATGATCGATCCAGTTATTAAAACATTGATTCCTCATCAAACTCATGAACACTCAAAACATTATGGTTAAAAATATGTGAGAATACTATGAAAGATTTAGAGAGGTGATGAAAAAAAATGAAAAATGAGATTTTTTTTCATATTTTTTGGATGATGAAAAATGATTGAGAAACTCTCCATTTGTAGGTCATTGTGTAAATTTAGAAACAATTCAGGGACCAAATTAATGACAAACAATCAAAGTAATCGATTAGACCGTGCAAATAATCGATTGTTGATGTCCAAAATAAAAGGTTTATATTCAGAGTTATTAATATTTACGAGTTTCTCTCCTCCTCTTATGGTTATGAAACATTGGTTCCATTATCGGCTCCCTCCTCTTAAGTTTGTGAAACATTGGTTCCATTATTGCCCTCGCCTCCCCCGGATTCTCCAACAAGAGAAAGAGCTCCCCGAATTCTCCAACAATTGAAAGAGCTATTTTGGTTTTTCTTACTGTTTCTCCTTCTCCTTATAAAGAGCTTCACAAATTGGATCCTATATTCTCACACTCTAAATCAAAATGATTATTGAATTTCTAAGGTGAATTGCTTTTTTACTGTCAAGTATAAATTATATTGGTTCCACGAAGAATAAAAAGTCATCAAGAGTTCCTCTTTATGCAGGTATTGTAAAGTGTCTCTCTAACATTGGCTCTTAACATTGGCTCTCAGGTGTTGAGTTCAGCGTGATGCCCCATGTAAAAGGTTGAATCAAGGTAAAATCAATATTTAGCCTTTTTCTAGAGTGTGGATAATGGCTAATCCTTAACATGAACTCTTCGCAATGTGTGAACCAGTTGTGTGCTGAAGCATAGATCATGGATTTTTAATTCAATAATAAAATTGCATATACTCTTTGCAGCACAACAATTCAGGATTGAGAACAAAATTCAGGATTCCCTATATATTGCAGACACTTGTGCATATATCACAAAAATTCAGGATTCTCTATATATTGCAGACACCCTTCTTTGGGATGGAATGAATATTGCAAAGGTTCTGAGCAACAAATCATTGATATAGTAATGTATGTGGCCGGAGAACAAAATGTATTTATACTAATACAACAAATGCACTGGATGAACCTGTAAAGTGATTAATAGATCCAAATAAGCCCTTTGCAGCACCAAAATGACTTATTCTGTACACACCAGGAGTCACGCCATGCGGTATTCTCCATTCCATGGTTGCTTTACTCATAGGACTGAGTTTAAAACGCCTTGACCACTTAAAACGCAGACAGAAATCGTCATCATCATAAGCAGGAATCCAAGTGTCTTTTCCTTGGAGAATTTCCACCAGGGCAAAGGTGCCTTCTGTCAAAAGGTCATTTCGAGGGCACGCAGACCAAAACGAAACTGTCACAATGTCACCGCTCGTAAACGTGGAGTTCTGAGGTACGTCAGAGGAAACATCGCCAAAATTTACTCCAAAAGGGGTTCCGTCCACCACAACTGGTGGCAGCAAGCTTACTTGCTTATCAAGAAGATCAGGGGGCAGTGGACCGGATTCTACTGGTTGGCCGCTGATAAGAGCCTTTGCAAGCTTCCTAAACTCTTGAATGTATGCATTAAGCGTGTGTGGGCCGTATAGTGTAGAAGCACCCTGACAGCAAGAAAATCAAAGTCAGAAAGAGATTTACATAGAAATATTTGCCTCCGTGGTTTATGTCTGCAACTGACCTCATATCTTTGCACCTGGTATTCTTCATATGTAGTTGCGTACTGCGAATAAGCATTGCTCAAAGCTGCTATAACAACATGAACATTTTCAAAATCCTTGTGATTACTTAGTACCGTCTTCACTGCATGGCGTAGTCTCCTTCCAGCCATTGTTGAGATTTCTGTCAGAATTAAAAGAGTTATGAATAAATATTAAGCGCCAAATAAATGCAACGACCAACATGTGTAGGAGACGATTTGGTACCTCCTGGTATACACAGAATAACAAACTGCCCAACTCGAAGGATCTGAATTGGAAGTATTGAAGGCTGCAAAATCAACATGAATGAAGAAACCTTTAGACAAGTAAAAAATGTATTTATATATGCATGAGTGAAAACAGATGCGGTAAAACTGATACATGGAGCTTCTGTTGGGACAGAACATGATTAGGAGGAAAGTTAAAACACGTAACATTAATATTATAATCGATGTAATTCAATACTACTAGATCAAAATATAGAGAAGAAAACTCGTGAACTTATGGGCCATAAAATCATAACTTTCAGATGAGTGAATAACTTACTGCCCATTCATATGGTATATTCATTTCACCAGTATCAAGCAAAATAGGCTTTGGGTGCTGACAATCAATTTGTTTCTTGCTTATTGTCTTAACTAGGTTGCGGACTAGCTTCCAGAAATGACTTCCCTGGTGTACAATCAGAACAAATAATAAGTATAAACCATAACAAGTTGTTTGGATAAACAGCATACTTAGCCGCTTATAACATAGGTACTTATCATATAAGTGTTTATATATAAGTTATTTCTATAAAGTAAAGTCAAATTGTTTTCATATAAGCTATAAGTCGTTTTCTTAAGCTATAGTAGAAAAGAGGGTGGAAAATAGACTTAGGAAGGTTTTGCCATGTAGAGGGAGACATGTAGATTATGTGGTAAGGACATTAGATCAGATAGAGAGGAGTCAAACAATTAGAGGTAGAGGAAGACCTAGAAAAACTCGAGATTAACAATTTAGATAGAAGTATGGTCGTGGATAGAACATTATACGGAAGTTGATCTATGTAGCCAACCCTGCTTAGTGGGATAAGGCTTGGTTGTTGTTGTATCCTGAAGAACTTAGGGAAATAAGTTGAAAACAGCTTATGAACATGTCATAAGTTGTTTTCATAAGCTCTCTCAATCAGCCTTACTAAGTTACAAGTGTTTATATTACTAGATATGTTCAAATAAGTCAATTCAAACAGGCCATAAAACTACAAGTCATCAAAATTAATAGGCAAGCATGAGGTAATAAATACTAATTACCTTATTGTCACCTTGCTTAAAATCAAAAGATCCAGGTCCATCGGTTGTTCCGGCAGCAAATGCAAAACCCATTGCGGCAGGGCATGTCTTAACAACCTTGTCAACTCCTTGATCAGAAATAGTCACCTCAAGTTTGGAGAAATCTATATAGGCATGTCGAAAATCAACCTCCCCTTCAATCTCTTCAGCTGCTGCATTGAAGAGATCCGCTGCTTTTCTAAATTGTCTTTCCCCTATAATACGGGTACTTTCAAACTCATCTGGATAACTGTCACATAAGTTATAAGTTATTTGATACAAATAAGTGATTCCATTGGTTTTTTTAGCATTTCCATGCACTTACATAAACCAAAACATGATGAAAATTACCTAGGACCTTGGCCATAGCAGAATTCATTCCTCCCTCCACATGTACTATGATTGAAGTTACAAGGTAATCCAGTGTCTAAACAAAAAGCTCCAAGAACATTTGGACTGACATCTCCAGAATTCGATTGGCAGAATGCAGCTACAAATCGAGGCTTGTCATCATTCCTAGGAGCACCTCTCACCCGTCTAGTAACACTCGAACTTTTGGTAACTGGTCTACCAGGAGGAGACTGGAAAGAGGAAGCAAGTTCCAGTAATTCATGATCTGCATCAATGTATTTTTAATGAGAGTATAAATAAGATCAATTTTTAATTTTTTAGCCTTGGTTCAAAAGGTTGTTCCATTGCGATCCTGGGGTCATGGGTTCGAATCCTGCTAGAAACAGCCTCTCTGTTAAGAAAAACAGGGGTCAACCCCCCAGAGCCCATAAAATGGGAGCTTCGTGCAGTGGGTTACCTCCCTTTTAGTTTTTCAGATACCCGCTCATACTAGTTACCTAATTACATTAATTGATACAATGCAAGGTATCATTCATTTATGTTTCATCAGGCTACTCGATCGGTCATAGCAAGCATATTAGGAGCTTGTTTGGATTGACTTAATTGAGCTTATCTACTGATATAAACACTTGTGAGAATGTGTAGGAGAGCTTACGAAAACAATTTATGACATCCCATAAGTTGTTTTCAGCTTATTTTCATAAGTGCAATTAGCAAACAAGTCTACCTAGTACTTAGAACTACAAATTTTGATGCTATTCATGTAAGATAGTATTTTGTTTATGAAATCAGTAATGGAAAAGAAGCTAATAATTTCATCAATTTTTGCATTATACCTAAAAGCAAAATGTAAGTAACATACGATTATCTCGAAGTCCGGGAATTATATTTGAGATTCTTTGAGATACCCCCTTGTACTAGTTACCTAATTACAATAATTAATACAAAGCAAGGTAGCACTCATTTATGTTTCATCAGGCTACTCGGTTGGTCGTAGTGAACATATTAGGAGCTTGTTTGGATTGACTTAATTGAGCTTAACTACTGATATAAAAACTTGTGAGAATGTTTAGGAGAGCTTATGAAAACAACTTATGACATTCCATAAACTGTTTTCAGCTTATTTTCATAAGTGCGGTTAGCAAACAGGTCTACATAGTACTTAGAACTACAAACTTCAATGCTATTCATGTAAGATATTATTTTGTTTATGAAACCTGTAATGGAAAAGAAGCAAATAATTTCATCAATGTTTGCATTATACCTAAAAGCAAAATGTAAGTAACATACGATTATTACGAAGTCCGGGAATTATATTTGAGATTCTTTGAGGCAAGCCATCATTTCCGAGTACATCAGAATCCATTCTTCCAGAATCTTTTTCCTCAAACCAATCTTCCATAAACCGTGCAGCCGCACCTTTATTATCCCCGCTGATTAACGAGTTTCTACGACCCATTGAAGTCGGATGAGTAGCAAACCAACTGAAGCTTCCAACAGGTCCCCCTTCATCATCAACAAACTTCAAAAGAGTCATTTCTTTATCAACATCATACTTATATTTGCTTCTCTCCGAAGCAGGATTATTGAGATAAGCACTGGGACTACGGTTCACACCAGCATCTAAAAGCTCTCCTTCATCAACAAATATTGATCCGGGACGGAGATTTTCATGAGCCTGAATAATGCTTTTCTCAATTCCATCAACAATGACATCAAACGACTGACGCACAAATCCATAAGATGTTATAATATACAAAAAATATTGAAGATAACCCCCAGGACCCGCGTGAGTGTGAGTTCCGCTAATAGCTACATTCTTTTCCGTATACATCTCACCATATCTGTCAAACAAGACGAAATTATTTCAGATCAAAACAAAACATCGGTTACCATTTACCAACTAATCATAGTAACTCTACCTTGCTTTCAGCCTCTCGATTACTTTGGTTGTCACAATTTGCGAACCCATACAAGCATCAAGGTTCACAAACACAACCCTATTACCCTTCGACGCTGCAACAATGAAAGCACGAGCGCGAAGCCTGAAGTGAACACCAGATGCAACTTGTTCTATTTTAGCATACCCCATCAAGTTAACATCAGCAGCAGGACCAGTAATGTCATAGCTTCCAAGACCAACCAAGTAACCCGAACCACAGTACACAACAATAACATCACTCTTCAGTAACAGCAGGAGTAACAAAACAGTCCAAATTCTCATTTTTGTACATATCCTCCAAATATTCAAATGACAAAAAGTATGAAACTCCATCAGAAAATAAACCTTTCAATCTCAGCAAGTTCTTCTCATTTTTCTTCACTAAACACACCACCAAAAACAACAACAATACCAATAACAAATAAACAAAGATTCAGTTATTATAAAAATGAATAAAAAAACAAATTTTCTTAACAATATGATAAAAAAATTGGGAACAGTAAAGATGAATTTTTTACGATACCCAGATGAGAAAAGTTGCGGAATTTACATGAAAATAAAGATGGGTGGTCTTGAAGTGTGATTAACAGATTGAAGAGAGAGTGACCCAGGAGAGAAAATGAGAGAGAAGTTAGAGACTGAAAATGGGGTGTGAAAGGTGAGAAAAGGAGTTGGTGGAGAAGTTGGAGCGATGTAGAGCGGTGAGGAGCATGAGATTTGGATGTTTCGCAATTTGTCATTGTTCTTGCTCTTGTTTCATGTCAACTCAAACCAAAAGAGGAGAATTTAATAATATTATCTTATTCGATTTTATTAATTTAATTTTCCCTTAAAACAAATATTATGATGTCTATTTTAGATCTATCTTTGTATGATTACAATAGTAAGGTAAACTTTAAATAATATATTAAAATATATATATATTTTATATTAATTTCCATGTACTTTATAATTATTTAATTTATAAAAATTTAAAATTTTTTCGTCACATATAATATTTATTTATAATTTATCTCGTAAATTGTACAAGATGAAAGTATAATCGTAGTATATAGTAAAAAATACATAATTGAATATTTTCATTTAACATAATTTTAATTAGAAATATGATATTATTTGCTTTTTAATGTGTGAAATGAAAATGGTAGAAGATAAAAATGTGGGTAGATGAATTTGAATGTAGTTTGTCAAGAACACTACGTGGCTAATGAGATTCCCTTAATATAAAAACTTTACCCTATGTCCTATATGCCAGATGAGTCGTGAGTAAATCGTTCAGCAAAAAAACTAAGGGAGTAGATCCACTTAAAATTTCCACTTTAAAAGAGTTTTTTCTACAAGAACATGAAAGGCATGTTCCGTGAATTGGTTAATCACGAAGAACTAAGTTTCTATGAAATGGTAAATACTGTTTTAAAACTTGGACAGGTGATTGATCTAGTCAATGCATTGAGTTAACGAATAACTGGTTGGACTGATAAATTATTAATCAACTTTATATATTTATACATTTATAAAATAATGTTTCTGTAAAAAATATATAGAATTTAGCTCCTTGATTGATAACGACAGTGTTAATAACTGAATAATTAAGTTTAAGTAGCTATATATTGTTAGTTACGAGTTTGATTTTTGGTTGTACATAATGAAAATTGTTTTTAATATTGAGTGAGCGGTTTGATTCATAGTGATTGGATTGGTTCACTGGTTTGACTGAAAATCAGTCGGTCATATTAGTTTATAATAGTTTTTTTTTTTGCAGATTTTGTCCACTGCTTTGATCAACCCGCTCATGCCACCGCTTTCCGGTCGGTCCGGTCCGGGTTTTAAAACACTTGTGGTAACATTCTTGGATAACATTCTTTGATGAGATGGACTGAGGCGAGTCAGCTGTTAGTCAAAATAGTAAGTGTTTTATTTTGTCAATGTAATAATAATGGGAAATTACTAAATATCAATATCAAGGACTGCACACAATTATCAAATTCAATTTCACTTTTAATTAAACAAAAATTTAATCTGGAATTTTGGTTTTGAAAATTGTCACTTAACCAATAACATAAAATATAAATTGGCTTTTCACTAATATGAAGAGCATGCTAAGGGTAAGTGTGTGATTTGTCATGTAACAACCTTGAATTCTGATTTCTTCAACAAATTCATAATACCAATTACCAGTCCTTTAGAGTATTTTCCCCTAAGTCTTTAGTGGGGAAACCTTTGAACATTCGTCCTAAATCATAAGTCCTTAGAGAGTTACGATGAAATCAAGCATTTGTTTTATCAAGAGTTAACCGGTAATTATATGATATCCATATTCCTAGATGATATCTACTATAGTCTAATCGTACAAAAACCTTAATAATCGTGGTACAGCTGGTTGTTAATCGTAAATCGATCCTAATTGGTCTGATCAGGAAAACATGAAAATATTGCACGATAAAATTGAATAATAAGAACTATGGAATTGATAAAATCAAAAATTCAAAGTCATTACAGATTCAAATCAGGGACACCCCCTAGTATTAGGGGGTTTAGCCTCTCATAGTATTAAAAAGAAAAGCGATAATAAAATTAGACATTACAAAAGGTATGGATTCTTCGATCTTCAATTGTTATCGTTCATGAAGGAATCTATGTCTCCAAATCTCTTGAAAGCACCAACCTTTATCGTTCATAAACTTCTTCAGTCAAAAGTCCTCTCATTCCTCGTGAAAACTCCTCTAAAAAGCAAAAACTCACTTAGGTCGAATAGAAGTACCCAAAACGCCACCACAGCTTAACATATGGGCAAAGTAGACAAAAAGCCAAAAATCAACATCATAGAACAACACGGTCCGTGTTGAGCAACACGGCCGCCCGTGTTAGCCTTCAAATAATTACTTCTTTAATTCAAGCCCCATGGGTTGCAACACGGCCCGTGTTGGGCAACACGACCGCCCGTGTTGCACCCCTGACTTCTAATATTTTTCCAACGCGCCCAAGGTACCTCCTGACACGACCCATGTTAAGCAACACGACCACCTGTGTCAGGCCTCCTGAAAGTTGATCTTTGCATTTCTTCAGAAACTCTGAGTTTTACACTGTTTTGTCCCAATTTATTCCTTTGAACCTAAAAACAGCAAAACACACAACCAACGCATAAAAAATGGTAAAATGAAATAAAACATGCAATGATAAAAAAAAAGGATAACAAAAAACAATGGTAAATAACTGTATAAAAAACTGATCAAACTCTCCCCAAACTTAAACTGTTGCTTGACCTCAAGCGACTATTACAAGAACTCATGAAAATCATAGCAGTCCGATACTCATACGTGAGATATCCGTTCAAATTGATCAAAAGGTAGTCCGTCGGATGTTCACATGATGCGAAGAGTTTGTGTAAGGACCTTTAAATCTTGAGCTTCCTTTTCAGATACCTCTCTAATTATGTTTTGTACTTAAGTCTTTTTCTAATTTTCCTCCTTTTTCATTCGGACAGTCAAATTAAGGCAATGAGAATTTTTAATGATCAACACACGCACAATACCTAATCAAGAAAAATTTTGTTCAGGAACCAAATAAGCAATTTTCTCCTTTTTAATTTCAGATGAAATTTTCAAAACTTTTCAGTTTATATATTGTCCTTTTGGACGATGTTTAGGGATCAACCCCCTTTGGGCTGAATAACCTAGTGAGGGCTACCCAACTTAGCGAGCCAGTTGCCTTTTATCGCCTTTTCATTATTTGGTGTCAGCTTTACTTATTTCTCAACCAATCATACATGCATGTGAATCTAGATTATGCCAGACTGTATTGATAAACTACTCAAGGAGTACTTCTCAGAATTCAAGCAATATGGTACAAATCTACGCATTAGACTTGTATCCCTGTCACGTTATTCCGAACTTCTTACCCTTAAACAATCATCCCTTTGTCTCTATATACTATTCCCGAACTCTATGAGATACAAGTTCTTGAACAAAAGCAAAATTTGGGAAGGACTTCAACTCGCGGATTTACACAATAATTAGCATAAGAAAAGCAGTTAGAAAAACTGTAAAGTAAATCCCCCCCAAACTTGAACTAAACGTTGACCCCAATGTCTCAGAACAAACTCGAGGAAGGTGACTCACAGAGGAAAATGCAACATTAGCTACTGCCTCATAGCTTTCACCAGTGAGGCACCCTTTTTATTACCTGTAGACAAAAAGAAATAAACACAAAAAGAAAAACCAAGTTATTAAAAGCGTGGGTTGCCTCCCACGAAGCACTTTGTTTAATGCCGCATGGCTCACAGGTTCATCCCCTTATGAGGGGTATTTCCTCTTCCACATCTTGTTGCTTGTCATTTCTGAAACCCATAACTCATTCAGATTAAAAGTATGACCCTCTTTGTGCTTCAGGTCACTTTCAACTTCCCTCTGCTCACCTCAGTGTTCCTTCTTCTTTTTCTTCTTGACCTCTTGATTGAAGTTGAGAATTTTTATTTATGCCACCTGAGAGATTATGCCTGAGACATCTTCTGGGAGTGATTTTGAATTTTTTATTTCTCCTTCTACTTTGATCATTCCAACTGAAGATTTATTTTTTCCACCTGAACCTTGCTTTTTCATTTCTAACACCTTCAAAGTTATCTCCTCATAAAATTATTTCAGTGTCAAAATACCTATCTCGGTATCAAAATTGTATTTACTAGTAAGCAAAAATGGTCGACCAAGAATGATAGGAGTCTCTTCATCTTCAGGAATGTCCATGATCTGGAAATCAACTGGAAAAACAAAATTGTCAATTTCCACCAATACATCTTCAACTATCCCATATGACTGCCTGATGGCATGATCAACAAATTTCAATTTTATCCCACTTCCACTTATCTTTTCAATACCAAGCTTTTTAAAAATAGTCAAGGGAATCAAACTCACACTAGAACCATAATCAATTAGAACCCTTTTGAATTTTCTTTCTTTTATTATGCATGGTATTGCAACTGACCTCAAGTCCTTCTGCTTGATAGGAATTTTTCTCTCGGGCGTGATTGCACAAAACTTCTCATCAATGGGTACTTGTCCATCTTCTGTTGTTCTCTTTTTTGAAAGTACCTCCTTCGTGAATTTCAAGTACAAGGGCATTATCTCAAGTGCTTTAAAGAACGGTATGTTGATCTCCATCTTTTTAAAAAATTTGACAAATTTATCAAACTCTTCCTCTTTTGTGTCCTTCTTTGCCACTCGAGATGGACACGACAACTTGATCACCGATTTAGTCTTGTCTTCAACTGGCTTCACAGGTGATACCATTTTCTCCTGATTTTTCTTGCTCTCTCTCTCACTTCCAGATCTACTTCTATG